CAGAGTTGGCGTGCCTCCATTCCAACACCCCCGTGGCAAGGCAGCCTGGCTTCCGTGGGTTAGGGCCCCCATGAGTCCTGAGCCCCATGTGTCTTACATTAAATCAAAGCCTGGCCTGGCGGGCAGGCCCTCAGAATACTCACACGTGGCCTCGCGGGTACCCTGGTCTGGGCTTCCACATCTGTGGAAGAACCTGCCTGACTCCGAACCTGCCACGTGAAGCCTCTTTGCTGGCTGCCTGCGTTAGGTCAAGTTCTCTGAGTAGATCCCAATGCCCACCACCTGATGGTGATTTCCTGAGGCTGTGTGCCCAGGAGAGAGACCGCAGGAGTTCGGTGGAAGAAACCAGCAAGCGGTGAGGTTCATGAGGTTCAGGGCCGCCCTGGACTGTGCTCCCAGGGAGCTCTGTGGGTGAGCCCCAGGCCCTCACAGCTGGGCCTCCCGGAGGCGGGGGGGGGTGGGGGGGCCCTAGATTTGCAGTCACCACTAGGGGCTGCGAGAGGTAAGCCATCCTGCCCTGCGGCTGCAGGCAGAGGCGCCCAGGAGAGTGGCAGGTGTGGGGCCTGAGGGCTCCAGATCAGGATCAGGAGTGGGCACAGAGCCGGAGGAGCCTGGCAGATGCAGCTGAGCAGAGGGCTGGGGAGGGAAGGCAGAGCAAAGCGGGAGAGCAGGGATGAGCTGGGGCCCACGAGAACAGACCGACTGCTGACAGCCGGGCCTTTCCCTGCAGTGCTGAACACACACCTGGTGCAGGGGTTGGCGAAGCTGCCCAGGAGCCACGGCAGAGCACTGGCAGGCCCAGCCGCTGTCTCAGTCCAGAGCTCGGGCCCGACACGGTGACATGTGTGAGCAGAGTTCTGCAGCGTCTTGCTGCGTGTCTCACACCAGCTCAGCGTGTGGGTCCCTGTCGTGGGCTGGATTGTGTCCCCGAGTTAGGCTGCAGTCCTGACCCCAGTGTCTCAGCATGTGACTTACTTAGAAGGAGGCTGCAATGGGGATATTGAAGCAGGGCGAGATCCTCACCCCACAGGACCAGGGTCCTCACAGAAGAGGCGGGTTTGGACAGACACTCACACAGGGTCGACAGGGTGGGAATGTATGTGGAGAAGGCTGTGCAGAGATGGAGGCAGATACCAGAGTGACACGGCCTCCAGCCACCCGCCCTGCCCACACCAGGGCACACGGATTCCAGCAGAAGCTTTGCAGGGAGAGCAGAGCCCTGCTGACACCTCCATCCTGACTCAAACATCCAGAAGGGGGAGAGGGTACATCTCTGTGTCCTTAAATCCATCGAGGACTTGGATCTTCGTCTCAGTGGCCTTGGGAGCTAGGACCAGTCCTCCCTGACACCTGCCGAGAAGGGGATTGTGGGAAATGTGACTCGGCCTGCCCGTGCTGGGCCATCAGAGCTCCCCTACCCCAGCCTCTCAGATGGACAGCACCTCTTCCTAGGGTCCCCTGAGCACCTACCCAGGCCAAGACCCAGCTGAGCGCCTTCCTGGTGCTAATGAAGAGGCGAGGGCCCTCCTAGAGCCCTTAGCTCTCCCTACACCTGTTACTTCTCCTGGCTGCCCCAGGGCACGGCAAAGTGTCAGGAACCTTGCGGGGGTGTTAGAAACTGATGGATGGGGGAGGTGACAGGTGGTGTGGTGGTTAAGGGCCCTGGGCTGCCACATGGTCGACCTCGGTTTGAGTCCTAAACCTGGCAGCTTGCTCTCTCTCTCTCTCTTCCCCTCTCCTTCCCTCCCTCCCTCTTCCTCCCTCTCTCATCAAATTTTAAAAATAATAAAGCTAAATAATTCTTTAAAAAAGGAAAGAAAAGAAACTGATGGATGATGGTGGAGTTTACAGGGAGAGGGGTTACCCTCCCTGGTGGCACCTCTCTCGTGGTGGTGCGGGATTCTGTCCCCTCCCTGCACCAGCCCAGTGGTTGACTCAGCCCAGAGAAAACCCAGCTTTTCTCCCCAAGTCCTGTGGGACAGACAGCCCCCAGTCCCTGCCCACCAGTTCCCTGCGAGTGTTAATTTCTCTGGACAATAATCATCCTCCTATGATTTACGGTGTGGAGGGATTACCAGACTGTGGTGGCGGAGCTGATAGGCGTTTATTACCTACTTAACCATTTAAGTAGAACAAAAAGAAAACCCTTGTTGCACAAAAGGCGATGAATGTTTCTTTTAAACGCCCTATTAAAATGATTCATTAACATGACAAAGCGGCCGAGTCCGCAGCTCCAGGAGCTGGGAAGACCGTCCAGACAGGCGCTCTTGGGGGTGACAGGAATTTGGGGATTTGCTGCTGCTCCGTTTGGGTGGGGGTGGGACGTCTCTGCTGGGGCAAGCCCTGCTGCTTTGGGGGATTTTTTTTTTCTTCAGAGCACTGCCCCCATTCACTTCTTCTTCTTCTTCTTCTTCTTTTTTTTTTTTTTGAG